GGCAAAGCTCACTGATGATGCTGACTACGATGCCGGCGAAACGTTTGAGAATGAACCAAGTCCACTGTCTGATGCTGGGCATCATGACAACTACTATGGCAGACGACTTCGGACTAGATGCGTTCTACATAGTCGCCCTGACAACAAGACCAAGTTCCGACAACGAGGTCAACCCACTTGTATAAATCGAAAGGAGACTGCGGCCATAACAGAGGCCACAACATCTTGGTCTTCATATATTCAATTCTGTGTTGGGATTGTGGATGAAGCAAACATATATTTGCTATAGCAATCGACGACATTATTGCAGTCTAGCTTGGATGGGAACACCCTTTGGGTAAGCAAGGCTATGTAAAATTCAATGAAAAACATCAACCCTACTCATATCAATGTGGGAAACATCAATTGCCTGTCCTTTATCACCTTAAACGAAATAGGGTGGACACATCTCATGCATCTGAGTTACTGGTAGTCTCGAATACCTATTCAATAACATTCTAGTATATTTCTCTGACTCATGACTGAATCATCACTGAATCATGCTACAAACTCAAAAATGACAAGCTTTTTGCTTCTTCGATAGAATTAAGGATACCTTTATCAAACCATATTTTGTGCTACATTCATGTCCATCCCATTTTAACCCATACAGATTACACACAAATGCTTTTTTACTGAGGTTGTTTGACTGCAAAGACACACCTCCTTTCATTCTTTAAACGTGAGGTTTTAATGGCTGTATCAATATTTACAAACACACAAAAAGTTAAAAGTATCACACTATCAACAGCTTTAATTAATTTTGTATATTCTTGTCCTTCGCCCAATCAACAAGTGGAGCATTTGGCCCGCCAGGAGGAGTTTGTGCAGGCAGTACGCCGGGTGGATCGCATAGAGACTAGTGTGGTGAGCATTGTGAACAAGATTGATATGGTACTGCAACGCTTAGATACAATTGAAGAGGCTCGGGCTCGAAGACGCGAAACGATGTCGCAACTCTTAAATTCAATCGGAGAGGTGAGTCTCCCACAAGTCTGCTTGCTCCCTGTTTCATACTATGTCGTCTTGCTCCTATAAAAGTCCGATTGTAACCTTAGATTTCCCAGTCCTTTGAATCTCTGATAATATCATCTTGAACACTTTATACCCTTCACGTCTCATGTGCTCAGTTAACTCAAGCCCATTCTTGGCTTTAGGAATACTCCGAGTTTTGCAGAGCAAAACATTCTGTCCCCTTTGATTTTTCTCTCAATTAGCTCCAATTTTCTGACATCTTTTCTGTCGCATTTCTGCTATCCTTCGGCGCCTTGATTCTCTAAAGCTATAAAATCTCTTTATTCCCTATTTTCTTCCTCTTGCTTTTTATACAGTTATAATTCTGTTTTGGGAAAATCTTTTTTGCCTTTTGGTGCACTAAACTGCCAATTGTCTCGACTCCGAAAGCACCCACATCCTCGTGAGAAT